TGAATAGAATAATTTCTTTTCGCAAAAATTAAACCTCTTTTAGTTTTTTTATTTAATAAATCATATGCCATATGTTTTACATTTTACTCTAATTATTATATAAATTATATTTTATATTAATTAATATTATTATATAAAAATGTTTCTTATAGGTACATAAAAGAATATTTCAGAGTATCCAATTTGCCCATAATTCATAAAGAAATATTAAAAAACAAAGATCTTTTAAATTATCTTAAAGAACACACTGGTTTAGATATGATAATCAATCCACTTTTTCAAATATATAAATTGTACCATTTTTTGATGTCACAGGTATGAAATTTTTTATTATATATATACAAAGAAAGTAAAGATTACTTTCGATTTTAATGTGTTTATAATGTAATAATAATACGTAATAATACGTAAATTTTAATGAAATAAAAAAATATGTAAAAATATTTTATTTTTATCATTTTATATTTTTTACAACTATAATGGCAACTAACGATAATTTTTAAATATTATAACGACTATAATATTTTTAAATATTATATTTGTAGATAAGCATGAACATCGCCCTTCCGAAATGGGCAACCGAGAACGTTCGAAATAGAATAGAAAAACTCGTGGCATTAGAATACAATATTTTATCTTATAATACGTTAATGAAACGATTGAATGGAGGTTTTATTATAAAAGAATTTTTAAAAAATCTAAATAAAAAGAATGAAAGTGCACCCAAGATTTATGTATACAGTGGACATGAATTAAACATTGCAGCTTTTGCCAAAGCACATGATTTAATCGAACCAAAACTGCCTGCCTTTGGGTCTGCAATTATAGTCGAAAAATTGCGAAATCAATGTGGTGTGGCTTATATTCAAGTAAGTTTTATTAAGTTGTATATAATGAAATATTTTTTAATTCTATTTATATTAATTATAACGTAAAAACAATACGCAAATATTTAAATTTTAAAATTTATTATTATTTTTTTTCTTTTTGTATATATTGAATTATATGATAATGTTATAAAATTTGCTTGTTTCACAGATGCATTTGTGGACTGGAGTTACGGAACAATTAATTACTTATAAAATTCCCAAATGTGAAAAAATATGTCCTTATAACAAATACTTAAAGCTTATTGAACACGTTATTCCTTTTGATGAAGAAATAAATTGTTTATGGAATAATGTATCGATGAATATTTTACAAGAATATTACGATGGTGATAAAATGCCTATATACAATATTTTGTCGTTATAACCTCACACTTTGAGACCAATTGCGATCATATATCCGCAAGGGATACGAAACTCGAGTTTCGTTTCATTTTTGTTAATAGAAAAATCTTTTTTTGACAATGAGCGAAAAATACCAAATATTTGAAAAAATTTATGACATCATTCGTTTCCTACGTTATCTAGACTGATTTCTCTCTAGGAATCATTTACAAGCATATATCCACAAAAAATAGCTAAGGATATAATGAATAAATATTATATAAAAATATAAAATAAAAATATGAATTTTGAAATTTGTTCTATTATAAGAACATCATATCGCGATGTATTGTATCGTAAATCATATTCGTATATGTATAAATGTATATATATATAATATAAATTATATAAATAATATATTTATTACAATTCAATAACTAATGAAATAACATTATTAATAAAAAAAATATTAACAAAGATAAAATTCAAGTTCACTTACGCTATAAAATTTCAACGATTTAAGATTTTTGAAGTTTTTAATTAATAAATTAATCGAAGATGATAAAATTGATTAAATATAGAAACCGTCTTTTGAGCGTGTATTTTGCAGAGAAAGAATAGATAAAAAGATCAAGTAGTGGGAGAAAGACAGAAATAGCATAAATAACAAAAAAGAATAAAAATAGTAGATAAACGATAGAAATAGAATAAGAATTAAAACCGTCAACGCTATCTCTTGAGTATGAAAAACATTTTTTCAAGTGATAAAGTAGAATAAGAATTGGAAATTAACGGCATCTCTTGAGTATTTTTAAAAAAGTTTTACAACAGATGTCTGATATTTGAGAGATAATATTAGAAGTCAAGTTCTTACTTTATCTTTATTCTTTTTCTATTATTTTCTATCTTTTTTTTATATATTTAATTTGCAGCATATATTTAATTCTGAAGATGGCACTGATTTCAGTATTTTTATCCTATCTTTATTTTCCTTTTACTATTCGCTCTTCTTGTCTATTCTTTCTTTGCAAAATTTTGGCGCATGTTAAATAAAATATTGCATGTCATGTGAATACACTTTCATTATTTCTCTTTCAAAAAACAATGTATCTTAGTCTTAATCTATCGTAAAAAATATAGATATTACGTTCTCAATTTTACATTCTCTAGAAGAATGAATCTCGGAAAACAATATATCTTGATATATGATGCGAATATTTCACCACGGCAAAAACAATGAAATTTAAATTTAAATAAATGAAAACTTCTCATTAAACGAAAAAAATAAGAATTTTAAAATATTCGATCAAAAAATGATACTATTGAAAATTTGTTTGTCGAATCTATCACATTATTTGTAATCTTATAAAATATACAGTTAATAATCAAAATATTAACTATTATTATATATAGAACAATTTATGTATTATATAATTTTTTTAATGAAAGATTATATAAACAGAGAAAGATTATAAATTATAAAATTATAAAATATAAATTCACAAATTACTTTTATACTATTACAAAATATATTCAATTTACAAAATATATTCAATCTATAATACTATATATATCTCATTCTATTTCGTCATTTAATTCTTTAATTTATAATCATTCCATATATAAATAATTTTTAAATATTTGAAAAGTCACATGTAAATATTATTTTGAAAGAATAGAAATACAAAAATTTAATTTTAAAAATATAATTTTATTTTTAAAAATATAGTTTACGATAAAATCAATTTTCATTACAAGATTAATTTAAAAATTAACATTTCATTTCCAGGTAGACAATGATTTTAAAATTATAAATAAAAATTTAATGAAAAATAAATTATAAATATACATAATAGTATTTTCTCTTATTTTTAAAAATTTTTTAAAATATTTTATTAAAATATTTTATTAAAATAATTAAAATAAAATTCTAATTACTTTTATTAAATAATTTTTTATAACTAAAAAAATATATGATAATGAAACTATCATTCTTCTTGCTTAATAATTCTTGCTAATAATTTATATAAATATAATCATATATAAGACATAGATAAAATATATACAATATACAAAACATTCTGTAACAAAATATTTGTTATTTATAATTTTACATTGAAATTTAGTTTCAATCATTATTACTTTATAATTTTATTTTGAATCAAATTTATAATATGAAAATGATATTAAAATGAATAAGGATAATATCTGATAATATCTCATTCATGGAACAAAAAAATATATTGTATGTTCATTAAATAAATAAATTAAATAAATTTATATACATAAATTACATTATATAAATTTGTTTTAATCTGTTATATCTTTTATATTTTTTTATATTTTATATTTATATTTTGCAATGTAAATAATTGAAAAATAAAACTACAAGAAAATTATGCTTAAAATTTTATTTGAGACACAAAATTTATATAAAACAAAAATTAGTATATTAAAATACTAATTTAATAAATTAAAGCTTTTTTTTTTAATATTCATATAAAATCCTTTCTCATGTTTTATATCTTGAGGAAATTACTGTTTTACAATCTTGTTATTGAGAAAATAATAAATTAATGATATTTTTATTCCTGTTATTCAATTCATCTGGTTTTTAACATATATACATATATAAATGTTTTATTTTTATATATTAGATTTTAAATGTTATTTTTATAATCCATCAAATGAATTATAATATGAAATGGCTTGTATGTATTAATAAGTAAATAGAATTTTTAAATCTTTATTTATCATTTCAGGAAAATCAAATCAATAGATAGATAAAATTTTTTAATTTTTCTTTATCTATATTATTTTAGGAAAATCAAGAGTTTTAGTTATACATAAGAGATATAAAGAAATATTGTTATGTAGATTATAAACATTTACATACAAAATTTTCTTTTAACTCAAATATGATTTCATACTAAGTACTTTTCTAATATCAAATGTATCTAAAACATTGCTAACTCTATGTTTTATATTAATAGTGTTTTGATAATAACAGAGGTTACATTTTATTATAAAATTTCCTTACATTTTATTATAAAGTGTTAGGAAAAAAATCTCTGAATCAAGAATGAATTAGCAAAATATTATTTTGGAATGAGTTTATGATTTATTATAAAAGTTTAAAAATTTTATTAAAAGTTAGATAGTTATTGCTCGCATTTTAAATTGAATAACATGATATATGCTATTTAAATCATCATAATTTATAAAAAATAATAGCTTATGTAAAATTCTTGGAAATTTCGCATAAAAATTATCATATGGTGATTTTCTTTTAATATATTCAGATAATATTTTCATATTATTTTCAGATAATTTTTCATATTATTTCTTTTATTTTGATTTTCCGTGGATCATCATTCAAAAAACTTGAATAAATATGACAATGATCATCAAAATATTAAACATCATTATCCAATTTGAATTCATCTGCTTGAGATATTTTTTTTTAGCATCTTATATTTTTCTGAAAATTTATTTAAATTTACATATTTATCTATAAATTATAATTACATATAAATTCATATAATTTGCATACTTTTTGCATATTTGCAAATTCAAAATATTATTTTTCCAACCAGTTTATCATTCTTCTCATGTTATATATTTTGATAGAATTTTATTTAATTATATATAGTAATATTCATTACTATTTTATATTCATATTATATATTATTCATTATTATTCATAAATAATACATCGTAAATAAATCATCATCTTCATATATCAAAAAATACAGGATATACTATGAAAACGAATTATACATATTTCAGTAAATAATTTTATTAACAACTAATAAATATAATATAATTAAAATTTAGGATCTAGTTTTTTAATAACATGTATAATTTTTTTAATAGCCAATTTTAATTCATCATCTCCGACTTCAAAAGAAAGTACAAACCTTATGAGTGATTCGTTCATTACCATACATTTCACGATAACATCTTTGTCATTATCATCATTATTAAGTTCTTGCAAACAGTTAGAGAATTTTTTTGCATGAACAATATTAGAATCAACTTCCATGAAAACCATATTTGTTTGTACAGTAGTTAAATCAACTAAAAATACTGATGATTGTATATTATGTATTGCAGATGCAAGAGTGAAAGCTCTTTTATGATCATTGGCTAAATTTGGAATGTGTTCAAGAGCTACAAGTCCAGCTGCAGCAAGAATACCAACTTGTCTCATACCACCACCAAGCACTTTTCTTATTCTTCTTGCATTTTCAATAAATTGTTTAGTTCCACAAAGAAGGGAACCTACAGGAGCACCTAAATTGAAATATTTTTTTTTCTTTTGATTCTATAAATTTATTTCAAATTAAAAACACTTTATAAATATTACTTATTATGAAAATATATATGATATATTATATCATAATTTTTAAAAATAAAAAGATATTTACAAAATATATAGAAAAAAATTAACTATTTTAAAAGATATAATAGAAATTGTAAGGAAATAAATACCTAAACCTTTACTGAGACAGAAAGTTACAGAATCAAAACCTGAGACAATATCCTTTGCAGCTATCTTTGATGCTATACTTGCATTCCATAATCTAGCTCCATCCATATGTAATTTCAAATTATGTTTTTTGCAAAATAATACTAATTCATTTATCCAATTTTGTGGAACAATTTTTCCATTAATTGTATTCTCTACAAGTACCAGTTTTGAAATAGGCTCATGATCTCTATTTCTTCGAAGTTTAGATTCCAGTTCTTGAAGATCAAAAGTGCCATTATTGTTATTTTTTAATGTCCTAAGATTTACTCCTGCAATTTGAGCACTACCAGTCTGTTCATGTAATAAACAATGAGCAAGATCACCACAATATGCCTCACTTCCACGAACATCACAATGGACCATTACTAAAATTTTAGAAAATATTTTTATAAATAAATTGAAGATTAAATAGAAATTAATTAGATTTAAAAATAATAAATATTTTTAGTAACTAATAATATTATAATAATAAATATTTATAAAATATATATTTATATATTTATATATATGCAGTTAATATAAAAAATAATACATAAAAATCTAAGAATAAAAATTTTAAAACAATTAAAAAATTTTTTTATTAAGAATAAGTTAAATAAAGAAATAATTGAAATAATATATTATATGTATATTATAATTTCATTTTTACAATTATTATTACAACATTTACATTTAAATGATTTATATTTAGAAATAAAATAAGAATAAGAACATAAGAACTTAATTAATTAGAATATTAATTAATTAAACACTATTAAAAATATTGTTTGTACAAAATTTTATTTTAATATATAAAATTAAAAAATATATAAATAATAAAAAGATAATATTTATATTATAATAGAAATCTTTATGTTTTTTTTTGTTTTTTCTTTTATTTTTTTTTAATTTCAATTTGTTATATTTTATTATTTTATATATTATATATATAATTATAAGTATATATAATTATATAATAGTTATATATTATTTTTTTTTCTTTTATTTTTATTATTCTAGTTATTGTGTTTATTCTTATAATGTTAGTTATTTTTATTGTAATATATTCATAATATGTAAATAATGCAATACATTAATTTTTATGAATTCTAATCTATTGAAATTTATAATTTAAAGTAAAAAATTATTCATGAAAATTAATAAAATTCCTGATAAGTATATTTTAAGATAAGTATTATATGCGATAAATTTTAATTACAAAAACTTATTATATATAGAATTTATTATACTTACTTGAAATTAAATTTCCCATAGTTCCAGAACATACAAATATTGCATCTTCCATTCCAATCATTTTGGCAGCTTTTTCTTGTAATACTAAAAACAAATAATTTCTTTATAAAAGATTTTTAATATTATTTTAATAATGTTAATAATTATGTATGTATTATTTTTATACATTTTGAAAAACAAATAATATTATTTAATATCTTTATTTTTATATTAATTTTATAATTGTTGTATTAGCAATATAAATATTATGTAATATGTATAACAAACATATATATGCAATAAAAAATCATATGTTACATTTGAACATAATATTTTAAAATAATATTTTCATACTTTTAACTGTTGGATCTTCATTAAAAACATCGTCTCCAACTTCGGCTTTATATATTGCTTCTCTCATTTTTTTGGTTGGTTTTGTAAAAGTGTCACTTCGAAAATCGATGATCATTACCTATAAAGATTATGTATTACATTTTAATACTGAAGATAAAAAAATGAAAAAATTGTATATAGTTATTTTTACCTTTTCTGGATCGTAAATAATATTCGTAGAATTTGGTTCACAATACATATTTGAGATTATAAACTCGTATTTTCTATGTATATTTTTTAAATACTTAATATTTTAAATATATATTTTATATATATTTAATATAAATAAAAAAAGTATTATATGTAATTAATAATTTTATAGATTTAAAATTTTTGAACTAATTTTTAAACTGCAAATATAAATATGAAAAGAAATTAAATTTATAATAGAAACTATATAACGAAAAAATTAATTAATATTTTAATTAAAATTAAAATTAAAATTTATTAGTATTATAATTTTTTATATGATAATGTATATTTTAAATTAATTGATATTATAATAATGAAGATCACATACACTTTAACTAAAGACATAACTTTATTACACACGAATCGTTCATCATTACTGATTTGTTAGTGTTAAAAAATTTAGAGAATGTAAGTTTATAAGAACGATAAGGATTAAACATAATTATACCATAAATTATATATTTTAAAGATTAGAACTATAAATATTTTTTTAATATAAGAATAAAAAAATTAAGAAATAATATGAATTACCAAAATATTATATTATATTATATTAAATTTAATTATATTAAATTTTAATTATATTAAATTTATTTATATTAAATAAAATTAATGTTAATAAACATGTCATTTAATTAATTATCATTATTAATTAATTTATATATATATAAATAAAAACTTATATATTTTATTTAAAGAATATAAAAATATTAATTTATCATTTTTTTAAGAAATTTTTATTTTTTAAAAAATCTATTATTATATATTTTAAAAGACATTTAAATTGTACACAAGATAATTAAATTGTTGAAAGAATTTTTATTAAAATATTTCACACAGACGTAAAAATCAAAAAAAATACTTAAATTTTAAAAAATAAGAACTTTAGATATAATTATTTTTCAAACTATATATTTAATAAATTAATTAAACAGTGAATTAAATGCACAAATACATAATACTATATATTCAGAGAGGAATAATTAATATATCATAAATATATTAAAATAATAAAATGCTTCGTTATTATTTTGATTTATTTAAAATAATGCATTTTTTATTATTATAAATACTTACATTACATAAAAATGATACGATAATCTGTTTACGATTCAATATTTTTATGTTGTAAATTTAATATAAAGAAAAATAGTTCAGTTACAAATCTAAATTAAAATTATTTTAAAATATAATAAAAATAAAGAAATATATATATAAATAATTAATACAAAAATAAAATTTATTTGTTAAATTATATTTATATAATATGAATTTTATCACGATCTTATATTTTTTATATATTGTTAGTTATATTAGTTATAAATTATACTATTACAAGTTGTCGGTTAGAAATCGTCAAGTATATATTTAAAATTAGAACATAGAATATAACACAATGTAGATATCACATGTATAGTCTAAAAGAAATATTTCTTTTCGTGATATACAAAACATTTTTGATTGGTTATCCAGTTAATATATTTATCTCGTAACCAATCAAATTTCTATTGAGATGCGTCATGTAGCGACATGAGCGCTACTATGCAGCATACTTTTAAAATACAACCCCACCAGCATTGTCAGTATAAGGAGGAAGGAAGATGGCCGCGAAGAGCGAGAAAGAAAACAATCTCGGAGAGCGTTAAAAGTGGTAGAAGAACACGGTACCTCGAAGGAGAACGAAGTACGAATCATCCAAAACTCTCCAGTCTCAGATTACCTTAACCACCACGAGACAATAGACACTCGAAAACGATACGAAAACGAGTGTTGAATAGTTACATGTGCGTCCTTGTTACGAAGAGGTCAGTCTGTCGAGGATCGTCCTTGGAATCGCTCGTCCCTGAAGCCGGCTCAAGGAGCTAGTGATCTCAAAAACAAAAATGGCGGACGTTGACTCGAGGGTGGATCATTCAGATCCCGAATTGCGATTCCTTTCAGTTGACAGGAATAATTTTAATGATCCTGCAACTCAAGCCGAATGGACACAAAAAAAATTAGTTTGGGTACCTCACGAAACTCAGGGTTTCGTTGCAGCCGGGATAAAGGGTGAACGGGGTGATGAAGTCGAAGTGGAGATTGCCGAAACTGGAAAACGGGTTCTTGTCGCAAAAGATGATATTCAGAAAATGAATCCACCAAAATTTGATAAAGTTGAAGACATGGCTGAATTAACGTGTTTAAATGAAGCTTCTGTACTGCATAACCTCAAAGACAGATACTACTCCGGCCTCATTTACGTGAGTTTGACAGATTTTATCATTTTCCGTTACTCACACTGTCAAAAGAAAACTAAAGATATTGTTTTAGAAAAAATTTGAATTTTTTCTAAAACAAGAGAGAAATAGAATAAATGATTCGAAAAAATAAGATTGAATATTTTTATTAATTTCTTTTTTTAAATATAAAAGAAATTAAGATCAATTGCAATAAAATTAATAATAAAATTATTTATAAAATTCATTTTTATAACATTAAATCTTAATGTTATATAAAATATAATATTGGGAACATTCAAATTGTTCTTATAAATGAATTTAATAAAATTTTGTTCTTTGCATTGTTATTTAATCTTTATTTTTTTTTTTGTATAATAATAGTTTTAAAAAAAGAATTATTATAATAATAAAATATATTAGTTATATAGTATTTATTACAAATTAAATGTTACAAATTTTTTTATTCTATATTTTTAATTTTTTTTAATATTTTTTTTTTTTTTAATATCTTATCAATCATTAGATTAGCAATAATGATAATTATAATTATATAAATTGATATTAAGATAAAATTATTATTAATTTATATATATTGATAAAAAGAATATCGATAAAGAAATAAAAAAATATTTATCAGAAAATATAATATTGAAGAGGAAAATTATATACATTATAATATCTTTATATATATATAAATGTATAATACTTATTTATATGATATAAATTATAATTTATTTGATATATTATAATATATTATATTATATTATATTAAACAATGTATTGAATTATTCTAATAATTCTGTAAAATGTATTTATTAGAAATTGAAATTTATTTTGATATAAGTTATAAAATATTATTGAATGATATTTGAAATGATTAAATATTCATCAAATTATTTTAATATTATTTCTTTTTATTAAATATTTATTATTTAAAATATTTTTTTTTCATTATATATTTTAGTATTTAATTTAATTATTATAAATAATATTTGTGAATATTTATAAAAAACAAATTAATTTCAAATCATGTAAATTTTTAATTTTTATATTGCTTTTGATCTTTTTTTTATATATTAGAAATCAAACATTTAAAGTAAATTAAACATACTTGTAAACAGAATACTAACCTATCCCAATATTCTCAGTGAATTTGATTATCTCACAGTGTTGTGATCGAGCTTTTTCTCGTACGTTTCTAATTAAAATTATCTATTTTTGTGATTTCTCTCGTTGAAGCGCTGCGTGTACTTATCTCTCAAACTTCGTGATGAGTAACAATAATAAACAAAATACTATCTCATTTTAAAATAATGTATATATGTTTATATTAAAATTGTTATTTAACAAATAATTAAAAAAAAATACATAATATATATAAGTTACTATAAAAATTAATTATATATATATTATATATTATATATATATTATATATAAATTTTATATATATATATATAAAATTTATGATTAATTTAATCGAAAAGATTTAAATATTTTTTTTTTATTCGTAAATAATTAATAAATTGAAATATTTTCGGTTGTATAAATGATTGCGTAACTTGTTTTTCAATGAATGAACTTTATTGAAAAATACTCGAAAGGAAAAAAAAGAAGCGTGATTAAATTTTTTATAGAAATAAATAAAAATATAAAAAAAGTAAATAAGAAATAATTTATTCAAAAATTAATTTTGAATTATTAATATATTTAATAAAATATTATTATTTCGTAACAAAATTTATGATTAAGATTATATATGTTGTATGTATAAATTTGAAGAGTAATTTTTTGTTTTGTATACTAAATTTCTATGTATACGATTGTTGTTCATTGAACCACTATGAAGGAATAATATTCCAATGACAACATTCTACTTGTCAGAGTATCAAGTTATTAATATATATATAGAAAGAAAGATAATTCCATATACACGGTGTCACCTAAGATTGGGATCCATATTGTCCAAATGAATGAAAAATGTATTTTTTATATAAAAATTAAATATTTTTAAGAAAAATATTTATATTATTAATTTTGTTTTTTCTATTGATTGATTTAGAATTGTATATACAAAAAATTGCACAATATATTATATTTTTATGATATATATATTAATATAATATGTGTAATATATATATCATCATGTGATAATATATATATCATATGTGATATATATATATCATTAAATTTTTTTTTTATTTTTTTACAAAAACTATTTTATGAAATAAATGAGTTAAAATTATTATAATCATACAATGAAATAGGTCAAATTTGATTCATAAGCTTGGAGATACAGTTTTCTAAAAAAGAAAGAATGTGAACAAATGTCATTTAAAATAAACACAGCTCCAAATAACATATAAATAAAAATAAAGATTTAATTATAAAGAAAAAATTTATCAATTTATATTTCTCCTGAAACTATTTAATTTTTGTCTAAAACATTTTTCCGTATAATGAACTGTTTGAATAATATCTCAGATTCCAATCTTAGGTGATTCACCTCGTATGTTTTATGTTTCATTCGCTTTTGTATTGTTATAAACACAAGCAAAAAAATAAATAGCAAAATAAGATAAATAATAATAAATGAAAACATAGAGTTGAAACATTCAAGAAGAAACTTCAATGTTAATAGATAGTTCAATCGTGGTTCACTGTTATCAGAGACTGATAACAGCTATACCTTATTTCCACGTAGCATTGACTCACCGTAGCTTTTAGCATTCTTCGAAGGTTATATTTCAATTCAAAAATTTTACCGTGTAATCAAGAATTAAGTAAGATACATAGAATTAATATTTGAAAAATTTTAATTGTTGATATTATCTTTTGATTATCAGACACAAATATTTTTACCTATTAAAATGCAATGTTAATTATTATTATTTTTTTTATTCACGATATCGGCAAGTGCGCAATTAGAACAAAGAAAAGAATTGATAGTCTTCATAATTATCAATTTGATAATTGAATTTTAAAAATTAGCCTTTCCCACGATATAAATGAATTCAATTTCCTATCTAAAAAAAAAATTATCAAAAATTAGACAATTTTTATTTGAATACTTTCTTTGTTGATAATTTGATAAATAGTCTAGTTGAAATCGCATCTGAAGATCATACAGAGTTTTATCGATCGATATTAATTAAAAGAACTGCGGTTTTTTATTGGGCCTTACGATATAGAAATATCTGCTTACGTATGGCAAGCATTCTAGGACACGAGGGAATGACGTCATGCATGTACCTCGTACGTGCTGATTTTTCTTCTTTTAATCCGCGGTATATATCACATTCCGAACAACGTTCCAAAAATCATCCAAATCTTTAAACGCATAATCGATCATAATCGTAATCGTCCTTAGTATTAAAGCGATCAATTTTATTTTTCATGTTAATAAAATCAATATTGGCTTTATCATAAAACTGAATAGAATTGTTCAGTTATTTCTTTTTCTAAATAATTTTTGTTAAATTGAAAACTGTCACAAAGGCACGTTCAGAAATATTTCTCATGTGTACTTTACAATTTGTATATTAAATTTTAACATTGCTTCGTTAACTTCTCATCTCCACAACGAGAATTATAAAATGAATTACGTCAGTAAGAAATGATTATTTATCGAACGAAAAACATTGGTGTTTTTCTTCTCTCTGTCGAATTTAGAGGAGAAGAGAAAAGAGAAAGAGAACGATCAGGGAGGAGTCCTTATAAGGACGAGTGTCCTTAACCTGCTTCCTCGCGGTACCGTAAACGTACCGATGGTAATATACCGATGACGAGTCGAAGAGGAAAAGAGAAAGAGTCAAGTTTCGTTAAAGATTTCGTGCCTTTTATAGTAAAGACGCAGTTTCGGTCTTCTTAGGAAAGAAACCAAACTCTGATGAAACCGCAGATTCCGGGATAAATCGAATATGTCGCTTCGTCATATATCCTTGTCTTCCTCTCTTCCTTCTCTCTTCCTTCTCCTTCTTTCATCGCCCCACTCCTCCTTATTTTTCTTTCCTTCTCTATGAGTAGTTTTCTTTCATTTCTCTCCTCTCCTTTACTTTCTTCTCTGCGCAATTATGAACCAGAATATCTCGAAAAAAAGAGTGCTTCACGTCTACTTAATTTGGAATGTATTGAAAATTGAAACATCTTTTCTTAACCTTACTTATTAGTTATTTCAAATTTCTATGATATTACCAAATTATTATTAAAATATAAAATATAAAATTATTAAAATATTATTATATAAAATATTATTATAAAATGTAATAAATACTTTTATTTTTTTCAGTATATATTTTCTTATCTATCTATTTTAGATATTTTCAGTATCTATCTATAATAGTATTGTGTCATGATGCATTTTAAAACCTATGATAAATTGTGCAGAAAAACAATGCATTCAATATGCTTCAATTATTTTTGCATCAAGTAATTTTAATAAAAATTTAAATAACTCGATGATTATTAATTATATGGAAAAAGAAACACATAGAATTATCATAAACATTCTCAGGATAAGATTTAAAATAAACTTTTTTTTCGATGATTATAAATATTAATAATAATAATAAAA